CATGCCGATTTGGTTCCCGTTTGAAAAAGGTGTTTTATCAAGGTAAGCCGAATTGGTTCCCGTTAAACAAACTGTATTTTATTTAGTTAATCCGAATTGGTTCCGCTCAAATTACGTTCATTTTCCTTCTAAATATTACAGATTTAGGACTGTTAGCTTTAAAGTAGGATTGGTTAAAAACGTGTGATTATGTGTGTTAAAAATAAAATATATTATATACAATTTAAAATCGTTGATTTGGAAGTCTATCAATAGTAACTTAGGTGTAAAAAAAAAATAAAAAAAAAATATGCATACCTATATAATTTTAAATTGTTGATTTGCAAATTTGAAGCAAACTTTCTTCAAATATTCAATTCTTGTAAGTTTCTCATTAATGTACTCAGTCATACAGTTTTCCGAGTATTGGTTATTTCTTTCCTGTTTGTTGGTAAGTTTCCTTGCATTATTACTTCGAAATGTAATATAACGCCAATTTAACAATTTATTGCCATTTTATTGAACATAGTACCTATATACTCTAGATGTTGGTTCATTTATATTTTATACTATATAATTTATATTTTGTACCAATTATACATATTACATACATATGATTTACCAATCAAAATAATGAAAATTGTAACTATTTGTCCTGAACACAAACGGGAACCAATTTATTCGGTTACTCCCTTCTTATGATACAAACAAAAAACCCGGTTTTGTTTCTAATTAACCTAATCAAATTATTTTTATATTTTTAAATTATATATTGATATTATTATTATTGTTGGTGATAATCGTGTTAATGTACTCCTAGAGAAAATATGAGGCTGCTCTACTTAGTATGAAAATATGACTATGTTAAATGCATTCATTTATATACTTAGGTAATGAAAGTACTTCGAATCAATTTTTAGTTATCTATTGAAATATTTTCATTATTTTATAAATAATTTTCAATATTTTGCTTACAAAACTTACTGACTACTTGCTTAAATTATCATACTTTTTTTTAGCCATTTAAATAATTTATATGTATAAAAAAATTATAATGTAATAAAAAATGAAACGTGTTGTAAAATTTATAATTTTGATGCGTTTTGACAAAAAGGTTTTTACCTAAACTGCAAAACGGAATATTTTTATTATCTTTTTAAACCTCTAGGTATTAATACTAGTTAGTGCAATGCATAACCTATTACCTATATGACTATACATGTATATAATATGTTAAATTTTAAAATACTTCCTATAGTAGACTATGTACTAATATCAACTTGGATTACTTTTCATCCTAATTAAGTCCATTTATACATAATCCATAGCGGTAAACGCACCAGTAAACTTTTTACTGTAGAATTAAATTAATCTATGAAAATTCATACTTATATATTATGATTATTATGACGTTTGAGTACTATAATAAGTATGTATAGTAGAACTATTATAGGTCCAATTAACTAGTATATCATATTGTCTACTCCAGACTCCAGTTGAAAGGGCATTGCGGAGACGATTAAGTTTTTAGATTTTAGTGAAATTATTTGTTTTTCCATTAAATACGATATACCTACTATTTTTTTCATAAGGGCATTAAATGTGTTGTGCTGTTGTCTAATACACCTAATATCTTTCTACTTTTTGAATTTTTTCACCAAATTATCTAACCTAGTAGTTGTACCTTTCTTATTACTGATACTTAACCAATATCATTATAATAACTATTTTTATTTTATTTTGGTATTATAACATATTTATCATTTTTATGTCTTTGATGGAAAAACTAGAATTTTTGTCATCATTTTTAAACATTGAAGTACTTTCAAGACGCTACAAAAGAGTTACATAGGTACGATCTATATGTATAAATAAGTTGAAAAAGAAAGAGATTGTAATATTATTTCTTGAACAGAAACCAAATCTCTATTTCTTCACATTGTATCTAATTTTTATATGGTACCTGTCATCATATTTTATGATACTATTACAATTTACAACGAAACTAAATTTTAGTGTAATAATAATAGTAGGTATGCACTATTAACTATTTGTGCTGAAAAACGTTAATTGTTTGCGTATTTTATTATTGTCTGTTAGCTAAAAATAACCACAACCCATTCACTGACTAATACACTTGAGTTAATGCATCCACACATAATTCTTATTCAACTATAATTAGGTAGGTACATTATAAAAAGTAAATTATTAAGTACATTATTACCGCTTTGTTGGCTTTTGACTTCGCACTTTGCAGTCGATTTGTTCTATATAAATTTTAATATAGTAAACTATTCATTCTATAATTTATTATAAAACAATTAAATGATCAAGTATTATATGACTTATATGTATTATCTATAGTGTTGCCTATTAGGGATTTGATTTTTTATCAAATAGAATATTAGCGTAGAAACTTTTTTTAAACTTATACACAAAATTTCCCTAGCTATATATTATAGTATTATACTATAGTTAAATAGGTTCGTATGAGTTATTTTATATATAATAGTGACTAACCGTTTTATAGTATAAAATTCGAATTAAATAAAAATTTCTCTTGCATAGTTCAACTTTAAATAACAATTTTATGGGTTTTCATTTTTTAAATTCGGACGTTTTCTGGTGTAATATATTTTCTCATTGTTTATTCATAAAATCAATAAACATTAAACGCCATTAAAATGTTCGGTAAAATTAACTATGATTGTCGATCACCTATATTTTGTGGTACGAGTTTCTACCTACAACGCATTTTATTGTTATACTTCGTGAAAGAAGTGAATCCATATACACACCTTACAATTCTCTTAGCACGCAACAAAGAAATAATAAATATTGATTTATTACTGCAGAGTGTCAGTGTTTCGATAAACTGACCTTATGCCTATTATTATAAAAAGTTAAAATAATATTTTTGAAAATTTGTTTGTTATTTTTTATGTATTATGAATTATTAAAAAAAACTAATTCCCGTGGTTTTATATAGTAACACGCACCGTCTTAACACGTATTTATATCATCCCAAATACTAAAATGCCATCAAAGCTAATTAATTGTTTTATGCGCGTCAGTGTATGACATTTCGACGTAATTATCGCCGAGAAAAAGTTTTAACATGTATATATATATATGCATAATATAATATTTAATATAATATGTGATGCGTACAACGCGTTATATAGTCTTATAGATACTAAAAATAAAATACTAGAAAACACATTTCAGTGAAAATTCTAACGTGCAATATTATATCGTGTACGGTTTGTGTTTAGGAATCTCAATTAAAATGTTCAACTTCGCCCACATCAAAACTATACTGTTGCCCTTTCACAATAATAAAAAAAGTGCACTATGAATTACACTGCAGTATTTTACTATTAGTCATGTTTATATTGAAATAGTGTAAATCGTGTGAATTTTGGATTTTCTTTTAACATTAATTTCCGTTCATTTCATTACGGCGAGCTATCGATTTTTTTCAAGCATATGGGTAGCATTTACTAAGACATTGAAAAGTAAAAAGTACATTTAATAACCGAAAAACCTCAACATAAAAATGTGGGTTCTTAAAAAAATTTACTGTAAGTACGACATAAGTGTTTTGCGGTTCTGTTGTTATATATTACTCATGACGTTCCATGGTTCGGTTCATTATAAAAGGTTTTAGTTCCGATCTAGGTACCGATGTTTTCCGGTCGTGTTCTATATGTTACCGGTATAAAGAGATCCTAATTTAAACCTCGGTTCGAAATATTATCCTCCCTCACGCAACCGAAATAATATTATACAATCTCTGTGGGTTTTCACGTCTCGTTCGTGGAGTGCGGTTTGGGCCCTCGAGTCGTCGACGAGCAATAATATACCGCAGCGGCTGCTGTGGCGGTAACAACGATGACAACAAAGACGACGTCGTCGACCTGCTGCCGCCGCAGTGCCGCCGGAAGAAAAGTTTTCATGTGCACTGCGGGTGTGTGCCCTTGCTCGAACCCTCCTCGTAATTTTCCTCACGGCGTCTGCGCATAACGTCTAAATATTACAGAAGTCTACGGCCCTTGGGCGATTAAGACCCGAGTCTTAAAAAAATGTCAAACGTATCGTAATATTATATGCACACATATATTTTGTATGACGTTTTAAAGTGTAATAATAACGCAGTTAACAGAAAATAACTAAAATTATAGTTCACGAATGCGAAAAAAAATTTGTATTAAAAATCGTGACGTAACATTTTGTGTCAAGCCAATATGACGACATTCGTCAGGTACTTATTTCATTTAAATAAACTATTTTCGTAGAAAAAAATTAATTGCGTATTATTACACATGAATATACGCGAGTAAACGGCCGCAAGGAATTTTCGACGATGCCGACATTATGGTTCGCTTGTAACTCATGACTAAAATATAATAATACAGGGAACCTATTCGTTTATAAATTGCAACTCTATACTTATTAAAATAAATAGATGAATTTTGCAAGCTTTTTAATAAGTGCATGTGATATGTTATGTGTTTAAAATAATTGAAGCTCAACGATGAAAACCGATTATTGTGTTCAAATCTTGTATTGATCAGCAGTGACACGACTCATGTACATGTACGAGAGCACGACTGAGTCATACAAATTATGTTTTGTCTCAAACGCAATTACGCATTTCGTATAAGAAATATATACGACGATAATGTCATATACGAGAAGAAAAGCCGTCGGGGAGTTCGCATCCCCTAAAACTCGTTAAGCTCGTGGTGGGTATCGTTGGACCGATCAAGGAACTATTATTTTGCTGTATAGCATACATACACTCGGAATTTAGGGTGGTGTATATTCGGGGGAGGTTTATAGGCGTCGTAACGACTCCTCGTCGCCGACTGCGTCGGTATATTGTTATCTTTGAATCCTGCTATCGATTACTGTCCTTCACAACTTTACGTTATTATTATTACTATATGCTCAAGTCCAACTACCGATGTGGCGTATAATACATATATTATAATATTTCGTTATAACTTGTGTTACAGCTGTGTATAGGGATTATTATCAGTATCGTCGCCGTCGTATACACCGCGCCATGATAAGGGTGCGAAAAAAGTACGGCCGAGCCGCCGAGTGTGGCTGATCGATGTGCGGCTGTGGTAATAACGAAGAAAACAACAACAACAACAACAACTACAACAACAACGTTTTATTTCAAACAACAAATTATCAACATCGACGGCGATCTTTTAGTGGCTCGAGGCGACGTCGAAAAACCACGGACGGCGGCCGTCGTTCGAGGGACAAAATATCCGGCGGTCGACGATAGCGGCGGTGGTGATCGGGATCATCGTCGCGCCGGCGTCGCCGCGTTGTTGTTGTCGCCGTCGTCGGTGCTGGTGGCCGTGGTGCTGGTGGTGGTGCGTTGGCGCGATCGGCAGCCCCGCGCGTACGACCACGGCCGGCTGCAAACTGACCGTCTGCGGCTGCTGTTACCTACCGGCGATCTGTTGTCTGGCCGCCGTGATCACGTCGCTGTCGCTCATGCGCTCCAGGGCGGCCGCGTACACCGACGTAAACGCGACGGCCGACCTCGTACAGCACACCGCTGTCGCCGCCGGCCGTGATGTCGTTGTCGTCCGCGGCCGAGTGGTCGAAGCCGACGCTACCGCGGCCACCGCCGCCCCCACCACCGCGACCGTCGTGATAGCGACCGCCGACAACGCGACGACCACCACTGCCGCCGCCGCCGACACGTTATTCCGCCGGCCCCTTTCGCCGACGCTGCCGCCGCCGCACCATCAGCCGCAGCCTAACCAAACCGACCCCGCCGCCGACAACGACCGAGTCCATACTCATCATCACCATCAACATCATCATCATCATCATCATCATCATCATCAACAACCTCAGTCCCGTGAGTATTACCTTACACGCAATAATATTTTGATATTATGTTACTGCGTAATTATCACGCGCGATAAACAGTTTTGCCTCGTAAATTTTCCATTTTCCAACTGCTATGATAATAATAGAACACCAATAAACGTCCGTGTCGTTCGTGCTGAGTTGTCGAAATCAAACTACTTGTTAGACCAACTGTACCGAACTCGTTGTAATAAGTTAGATCTTAAGTTACTTGAAAAATATTATCCTGATATCGAACTAATACTAGTATCGTCGGAAAATCTTAAGTCATTTAATAGGCTATTTAAATATTCGAAAACGTTTTAAAACTACATTGCCTGCAACTTACACTATACATTGTTTTATTTATAAGCTATAGTCTGAATGAACTATAAACATTTTGCAAATAGCTAGGTAGTTAAAAACTCATTATGAAATATAAGCTCGAGAAATGAACGTGCTTCATCATAAAAGTATCTAATAACCCTCAGTTTGAAATACGAATTCCCAGACAGAAAATATTATATAATATCGATATCATATTGTTTTTCTCTATTGTCCATTAGGAGACACTATTATCAAAAGATCAACACTATCATTATATTATATAATTGTATACTACTTAGTACCTACTTATATGCAATTGTATACGTTAGATATATAAAATATTATATATTGTGGTAAAATCAAATTATTTGTATTCACCATAATATTATTTATTATGTTTGCCTAGTCCAATCAGACTTCGAATCATCTCATCTTGTTGAGTGTTAGGTATTTAAATATACAGTCTTATTATAGGGTAAACAAACTAGTTACGTTTGTAAATTAATGTAAAATCGTAAACAGTTGGTCTGGACAGGTGTCTGGATATATTTTTAAAATAAAAATACCTTAGATCGTGTTTTCATGTAGAATAATGGGCATAGTGAATATAATTAATATTAATTTGCTACCTACCTACAAACTATTATCGTTATGCCAACAAATGCATTATTCACCACAAATTATACAGCATTGGTCATCATAGAGTCTAAAGTAATTTAGTTCTTGTACAGTTGCATAATATAGTTAAGATTAGGAACATATTAAGTAGTTAAGTGGTATTACCACTTATGTTGCCTTACAGTTTACCAGAAATTAAACATTTTATTTTTGTAGTCACTTTTTGTTATGGGGTGTCCTTAATAAACACAATGGTTGTAACCCGTATTTTTGAGAATTTCCGAAAGTAATTTTATTACGATATGAATATGAGCAATATGACATATTTTATGTATTATTATTTATTAATCATTCCAATTATTAATAGTGTTGATATTTTGTTTCACGTAAATTTACTGAAACGTACTTATATATAATTATGATATAATTTACTATTTTTATACCTACTATGCATAATACATATAGCCTAAAAGTTACCGTCCATTGTTCGATACATCATATCCAAAAATATTCCTGTTAGCGTAATATTTTAAATAAGATTAATAGGGTAAAAAAAAAAATACTGATGTACAGCTGTATTTTTATGGTTTTTATATATCAACCAATAATGTAATTTTACATTTCCTTTTTGAATTTTGTTAATAAGGTTAGTTTTTTTTGCTTAAGTACCGGAGACACTATACGTCATAACTATAGTATTTATCAACATTAAAGGCACATGGTAATTTACAATCAGCACAAATCTTACAATTGGATCGATGATTTATAGCTGGTCAGATAGTCAAAACCTCCAAACATATATCAATACTGCAAAGGTGCTATTAAATTTATTATCTCGTACAATTTAATTAAAAAATCATTTCATTTTTATCACACTAACTAATAAGTTTATTTTAAAACATAATGCAGTTAGAAAATATATATTTCTGATTACTTTAACAGCATTTTATGCTCAAATCATTTTTACCACGAAAATTAATAAATCAATAATGGTCTTTTTTGATACTTAACATACAATATTGAGAGGATGCTGTATGGCCGATGGGTAATAAAGTCACGGGCGCCGATATTAAAAAGGCTCACATTCCGTCGGGAGGTTTAAAGATACCTATATATGTGTTGTCTGGTGACTGGTTGTGAGATTATGTTTTTTTTTTTTGTGTCTGATACCAGTAATAAAATAGATGGTTACACATTTATTTATGTACAAACGCGTCGTCAATACTTTTATGTAATCCGTGATGGGGTATAAAATCAGCTAGGATGTAGTTACTTCATCGACTGTGGGTCGTGCACGCAGACAGGGCATATAGTGAATTGACTAAAGGTTATGTCAATATATTTATGGTTAACGGAATTATTTCCATTGTCGCACACCTGATTCATAAAAATCGAGTGACCTTCGTGTGAACAAAAACGCTTACCTATTATACTGTACACAATTACAAAAAAAAAATAAATTAACAATGCACTCGGTGCATATAGGAAATGATAAAAAAAACGGGAATCACCGTTAAAAAAAAAAACGAAGCAGACTGTGTGCGTATGCACGTTTTGATGTACTTGTATATAATATGTACAGAGTGATCCACCGATTACACTAAATATTTCAAACACCTTAGTGGCTTAGTATACATAATAATATTTTTGTTTATACGATTTTACACGTTATTTGAATAAATGTCGAAACGTAGAATGACAAACACAGGGAATATTTTAATTATTTATAGTTTAGAGGTGAGTAATCGAGGAGTTAATATATTGTGTCTAAACTGTTGTTTTGGATTACTTAAGCACTGCAGCTCAAATATTTATTTCCAAACTTTCGACAAACATATTAGTGGATTATATATTATTAACTATTATATTATTTTCTATTTTGTACTTATAAAATTGTGTACCCATACACGTTGTACCTACGTACAAAATACGCCTTAACGTTCCTGGAAATCACCTCTTCGTGATTAATCCTTGTCGGTAGACCGTCCTGTATAAATTGTATACACTATATACATGTACTATAATAATAATCTATACGTACGTTGCACATACATATTATATATATTTTTTTCTTTTCACACCGGTCACCGACTGCAGTATTTTAATTAGGATAACGGTCTGGAGGCGCGTTCGTCTATTATATAATATACAAAGGCACTACATTTTATATGCATATATATATATAGGTATGCTTAATATATAATATATACATTACACTGCAGTGTTACACCGCACAAGTCTGCTGTACACCCCTAGGCATTATTATACAGTCGCGAGTGTATACATTCAATCGTAACCGCGGTATATATATATGTATATAATAATGTTGTGTATAGACGGCGGCGGTAATCCGTCGAGTGCATTAGCTGCCATTTAGCAGAGTGGTGTTGTTTTATACGGTACAAACATTTTTTTTCTCCCGTCTGCGCTCGAAATTTGCCGTGTTTTAAAACACAACGTAAAGGGAACACATCCGCGACGTGCGCGTGGTGCATGTTATTATTATGATTATTATTATTATTATTATTATTATTATTCGCTTTTAGACTCGCTTCTAGACAATAGGATACAATTTGCATTTAGGCGTCACATACAAACGCAATGAATAAAAAAAAAAAAAAAAAACCTTACACATACACATTACACACGCTCAAATGACGAAGCGGACACCATTCGTATGTAACGCATGTGTACGACGTGTGACTGAATGCGCTCACTCGCCTCCCCTGTCTCGGGCTTACACCACACACACGCGCGCGCATTATGCGAACTTGCTCACCCGCTCGTCCGCTGCAGTATAATATTTTGTATGCGTATAATATGATATATATATATATGTGTGTGCGTGTGTGTGTGTGTGTGTGTGTGTGTAAAACACACACGCGGTACCGTGAGCATACATAATGCGTCGAGTAAAAATAAAAATCGCACACAATGCCCGTAGAGTACAATTAGCCGGCCCGAGTATATGATATATAATAATATTATATTAAAACATAACGAAAATGATAATGATAATAATAATAAATAATAAATAATAATAATAGCGTAGAGCGATCAAACTGAATAATTTCTGCACGTCCGTGTTCGAGTGGGTGTATTATAATACCGTTCTCAGCGCGCCAATGTTGTTCGTTCAACTGTATTATTATTTATACAATAATGACATTACTCATTGTGAACTCACGCGCGCACTGCAGTTATACCGCAATAGCTGGTATGGTATACCTTGGTATACATAATTAATACTATAATAATATAATAAAGGTACCTATAATTAGTCGTGGATTCGTACAACAACACAATAACATTTAAGGCGGGAGTGCGCGACCCTTAATCTATTCAACAATAATTGTATATTGTTATTTCTCGAAAAAAAAACCGCAGACAAAACTTTTGTCTTTATTCAGCGCGTAAGATAAAATCCGGACGCATCAGCCATCGGACAGGCGCGTATGTTTTGTTATTTATTATTTATTACATGATTTATTATCAAAATACAAATAAAAATATTCTTACAATACTTTTTTTCTTATAATAAAAAATGAAAATAAAAATCTATACTGACTGTACCCGGTATTTGTAATAATTAATTACCATAAAAAACCGCAAACATTTTGTAGAGTGTTTGAACATCCAAAATACCGGGCCCGAGTACGTGCCTGACGAACTAAGCACAATGGCGATAGGTAGGTATAGTAGGTACGACGAATGTTTTTTAGCCGACATCGGGGTTTACATTAAATTAATATTATATCAAAATATTATAAATAAAAATTGTCTAATGTACTTTTAACAGCTGGAAATGGTCGAATTACTTGAAATACACTGTCTGGCGTGTGAAATTCAATCCAGACCTCTGTGAAATTTGGACGGGAACGATACTGTGTTTAACTGTAATTCGTGTATGTTACGTTGGGAAAAATGGAAGTTTTCCGTATTTTCCATCAGGTATCCATGTGAGTTCGCATAGAGTGACTAATTATTTACTAGCTATGTGAGCCTATTTAGTATACGTCTCCTTCATTACTGTTTAAACTATTATAGTTTGGCCAGAGTTCAACG